TTTATTTATTTGAGGGAGAGGGGAAGCAGACTCCTCAGAGCCTGACACAGGGCTGGGTCTCACGGCCCAAGATCATGACCTGAGCCAAAATCAAGAGCTGGATGCTCCACAGACTATGCCAGCCTGTGCTCCTTGAATACATATTTTAGAGATTCAGCCTTTATTCTCAACTCCACAAAAAAAAATCACTTTACGGGGATCCCTGGGTGGCTCAGTGGTTTAGCGCCTGCCTTTGGCCTGGAGCATGATCCTGGAGTCCCGGGATCGAGTCCCGCGTTGGGTTCCCTGTGTGGAGCCTGCTTCTCCCTCTGCCTGTGTCTCTGCCTCTCTCTCCTCTGTGTGTGTGTGTGTGTGTGTGTGTGTGTGTGTGTGTGTGATGAATAAATAGATAAAATCTTTAAAAAAAAATCACTTTACATTCTTGAGGGAGGACACTGTTGGAGAGATGTGAATGCTGTTTAGAGAATCAAGAAATTAGTGATAATATGTAACAAGGAGCCAGACCCTATTCTGATACTGGACTCCTGACCAGTCTCCAACCTTGGCCTCCTCCCCCTGCACATCTGCTCCCTACTGGTGCCAGCGCATTCGCCCGGCCATAGTGAGAGCCAGAGCCAGTCACACACGTTCCCCAAGACCCTCACTGTAGGAGTCAGAACTCAGTCATGCCCTCTGGTGATGTGTGGCACTGTCAGTCCTGATGTTCACACTTGAGTTCTTGTGTCTGGAGAATGGTCTTATGCCCTAGGAGAGCGCCCAGAGACACAAGGTGCCAGTGGGTAGACACCCATTTGGTGCCCACACCTGCCCTCCCCTGAGGAGATTACCACCACCACCACCACCACGTGTGCTGATACACCCCTGATCCGTGCACATGGTGGATAGGCCGCAGCCACTAAAGGAATGCAGGAAAAGCTCTGCAGTACACATTGTTGGGCAAAGAATGAGAGAAAACAGTGGGTGTAGTGTGATCTGATTTATTAAAATTCTTTATATTGAGCTGTTTTAACCTGAGGGATGATCTTCATACACCTGTGAATCTTCAGTCACTCATCAAATGCACACTGCCCTGCGACCACCCCCACAATCAAGAACTCCCTCCGTCCTCACAAATTCCCTGGTGACCCATGGCGGTCGGTCAGTCTCTGTCCTCACCTCCAGCCCCTGGCAACCATCCAGCTCTTTTGTGAACCTGTAATTTTGTCATTTCCAGACTTCCATACGGTATGCAGGCTTTGTAGTCTGGGTCTTTGAGCAGAATGTGCTAGAATAACGCACAGTGTATGCATGTCCGTGGCCAGGCGATGGGCCTTACCAGTGGAAGGACATTAGGATGATTAACATTAAAGCTTCTATAAACGTTTTAGTATTTTTGTGTGAACATTAGTGTTTCTTTATTGAAGTGAAATTGGCCTATAATATTATATTAGTTCTGCGTGTACAACATAATGATCTAATACTTCTCTACAGTGCAGAATCATCTCCACGGTGACTCTAACATCCATCAACAAGCTGGGTATACACAGATTGCTTTTTCTTGTGATGAGAACTTTTAAGTTCTTGTAGCAGCTTTCAAACATGTAACACTGTGCTATTAACTGTGGTCACTGTGCTGTACATAATGTCCCCGGGACTTGGAACTGGAAGTTTGTACCTCTGAGCCCTTCTGAACATAAGCTTTACTTTACTTGTATAAATACTGGACAGGGGCTTGCTGGCCACACGGTGAGTATGTTTGCTAGAGCAGCTGCACCATCATGCATCCCCACCAGCAGCTTCTGCTCCATGATTCCTCTATTGGCTGTGGGGCTAGGGAAGTGTGCAGGTGGGAGAAGAACCGTAAGACACTCACTATGGAGGGGTTGAGGACTGGAATTGGTGATGAGGGGGCAGTCTGATCTTTAACCACTTAACTGCCATAGTGGGAATGTGGTGTTAACACCTGCATAATGTAAGAGAAAGGGAAATGGGGGTATTTCTTACCAAAAAGAAGAGTGGGATGCTTCTAGAAATAGGATGAGATAATACACCTGTTTTCCTGCCCACCCACCCACCCCCATTTGAAATGTACAGAAATTTTGGATTAAATTTAACATGTTTTAAGTACGTTGTTAAATTAAAAAAAGGAAGAGTAGGAAATGAGGTGAGAAACGAAAGCCAGGGCAGGTCCCCAGGGCTGCAGGGGGCCAGGTAGGAGGAGATGCCCAGAAGGAAGGTAGGCTGTGGCCACGGACAGTTACAGCCCTTCCTGCAGAACTGACGCATGAGAAAATGAACCCGCTGAAGCTAGTGCATGTTAAAAACTACACATGAATTGAAAAAACAAACTTGCATTAAGTGAGAATTCTAGAACCCTGGACAAAAACTCTGAGGTAGAAGCTTAAGGTTATCAACATAATAACTGAACAACTAGAAATCTAATTCAGATATAGGACAGGTCTTTACAAAAACCTATTTAAAAAAAGAAACAAATTGATATGTGCTTTTTAAAAGTGTCATTGAATTTTTAAAATCTTAAAGCCAGTGGATAAAATCAAACAACAGGTTAAACATTGCTACAGAGAAAATTAGGAGATTTATTTGAAAAAATCATCCGAAACAACGAAGGATCATTAGATAGAAAATGTGATTTGGTTTAAGAAGCCTGGATCAGCAGGCCCTGCTCCGGGTCCCGGAGGGGAGGTGATGCATCACAGACAGCAGAGGCCTTGTTGGGCTCCCTCCATGCAGGGGCGTTGGGGTGGCTGGATGGACAGACGGTCTGTGTCCTTCTGGCTTGTGGGCAGACGTGGCACCTGGTAACTAAGCACCATTACAACTCTGCTTCCTGCACAAATGGATCATTCCAGAATTCTAGGGGAATTCCCACGCTGCTTCACCACGTGGCTGCTCCGCGTTACGTTCCCCTGTGCCACACTCGCACTAACACTTGCCCCTTTCTTTTAAAGTTTATTTATTCGTGTGACCTCTACCCCTGATGTGACTTAAACTCAGGACCCTGAAATCGGGAGTTGCATGCTCTTCCAAATGAACCACCAGGTGTCCGTCTCTTTCTTATTGTAGCTGGTCTAGTGGGTGTGAAGGGATTCTGTAAGCTTTTATGGTAGATTTTATCCTAAGCATCCTAGAAATTTTTTTTATGGAACTATCCTGTCTCAAGCTGTTTATGAATAATTTAAAATTATTACTGAATGCCTTTCTAAACTACCTTATCTTACAAAGTACAGTTGTAATGTAAGTTGAGAATAACCGTATGTTCATATATCCTGAGTCTACCAGCTTTGATTCTGGCTTTGACTATGATGCTTTTAATGTGTTTAAAATAGTGTATTTGCCTGATAAACACAAACTGCACAGTATGACCATCACTGTCTACCGCCCCCCCCAAAAAAAGTGCTGATTATATTTTCCCCAAGAACTTAAAAGTTTAGTTATTCAGGAGAAGCGTGTTTGAGGTAATTGTCCACCTCCTGTGATTGATTAGTCATGCTTTCCCTCGTCCATAACCATGTTTGCATACAGCAGGTCTTGAGGCTGTCCACCAGCCCTCTGCAAGAGTGTCATCACCACGATTGCATACAAAGGTGTGGACGGAAAGGAACCAGTGTGTGCAGGTGACCCTGGAAGGCCAAGCCAGTCCAGTCCTGGGGTCCGTGGGGCACCCTTGGGCTAAGGGCCCTCTCCCTCCTGTTCTGCAGGATGAGAACAAATATAACAAACTGTTAACTACTTGTTCTAAGTTTTTTTTCCAGAATCAAGCTTTGTTATCTATGCATTTTCTTGCTTTATGAGGACAGTTAACCCTATCTGGTTGGCATCCTGTGTGTGGCACTTGTACAAAAAAGAACCCTCCTTTTGTTACAAAAGTGTAAATGCTGTGCTTACAGCTACTTGATTTTAAAAACAGCTTAGAATTTGTATTTGTCCAAGGCTGAAATACCACTTTTAGGAAACTGGAATCTGTCCTTTGGCTGTTTCGTCTTAAAAAAAAGAAAAAAAAAGAAATGGTCAACCTAGCTGTGACCCGGCCTCTGGTTCCACTTCCCGCTGCTGCCAGCTGCACTGTGGATGCCGCGGCCTCTGGGGCCCTAGGGCCTGAGCTCCCCTCCAGCCCTTCTGCTCACCAGCGCTCTGTTCCCAGTACAGCTCAATATTCTTCAGGCCTTTCCCTTTCAGCCTCGGCCTCTGATCAGCTGAATTATTCACAGAAGAAGTTTAAGAAAGATAAATAAAAGCTTATAGGTGCCCAAACATTTTTACATTCGGATTTTCATGCAGCAAAGATTTCTAAGTTTCAGGTTTTGGCCCTTTTATATCAAATGTGATCCAACTAATTCTAGTTCAACAAAATCATGTGGATTGTGTTTTCAGAATAGAGAGTGTTAGGCAATTGAGCTTTTGTGTAAATGAGCCAACAGGGAGTCAACAGGAAAATCTCCATGTTTTCAGACAACTTTAAGCTTTTCCACACGTTGAAATACCAGGAGAGTGGTAATGTCCTGAAAACCTGACTCAGAATGCACAGAAAAGCAGTAAACACTACTGTGCATTTTTCCAGGGAAAAATAAAAAAAAAAATACCTATACTGAAAGGTGTGCCCTTGTGATCAGTCATGAGCCAGGAAAAGGCTCGAAAGCCCCCAAAACAGTAACTCAGGGACCTCTGTCCCAAGAGGGGCTTCCAGGTGCTCGTCCTGCAGGAGGATCAGTTCCCGGCGCCAAGCCCTGGAGTATCCGTGCAAGGACTGACTGCGTGTAGGGTCACTGCTCCTCCGGGCACACATGAGTGCCAAGAAGACCCAGACCACTGAGCGGACTTCCGGATGAAGGAGGGACGAGGCGTCCTTTACCGAGGTTGTGGTAGCACAGGGGGACCCCTCTGTCTGCCTTCTCTGCTAGAGCGAAGTGTCACGCGCTCAGGGATGCTCTCTTCCTTGGTTTTACTTTGATAGAAATACAAGGGCACACATTGTAAACGTGCTATTGGATAATTGTTCACAGAATGAACCTGCAGGGCCACCAGCCGGATGGGGAAGCAGAGCACGAGCAGCCCCCAAAGCCCCTCCCCGCAGGGCCAAAGCCTGCCACCCCGCCACCACGGAGCATGACTGTGCTGTGTCTGGGCATCTCTCCACGTGGAACGTGGCCTTCTGTTCTGCGAGTGAGCCACAGTGTATTCACCCAGGACTCTGTTCTGGGGCCTCCCGGGTTCTGGCGTTTGTAAATAGTGCTGCTTCCCACATGTCTCCCGGTGACGCAGGTACGGACTTAGATTGGGTGGGACTGCAAAGCTCTGGGGAGACACATTCAGCTTCAGGGGCATTGCCTGCAACATGGGAGGGCTATCATCACACCATGTCCAGACCTGCCTTGTCACTTGTTTGCAGCCATCCAGGTGTATTGTGACGTCCCAGCACAGTTTTTGCTGCATCTCCCTGGTGTTCAGGAAATGAACTGTCCTTTATCGGGACATAGCCACGGTTTAGCAGAGTGTCCAGGGTTTTTATTAGAACTCTCAACACAGGTGACCGAGGATTGGGACAGAAACCTAACTCACACAGGCTGAGCAGAAAGGGAGTGAGTGGCTCCGGGAGCAATATGGGCTGGAATGGCTCAAACGGTCCAAGAAAGGGTCACCCAAGCGTGAGGTCACACCGAGGTGGACGATGAGCCCCCACAGGCACCTGCCAGGGCAGCATACAACCTTGCACAGCCTGGAGGAGCTGCTTGTGACCCCCTAGTATCTCTTTAGCCGAGGGGCCCTGCAGGCAAAGGCTCGGTCCACCTGTTAGTTGGTGCAGGTTGGACATCGGCCGTTTGTGAGGAGCCCATAGTCTGTGAGGATGATCTCCTGAGTGGGCAGGTCGGTGGCCCACAGCCACCCCCACGTGGGTCAAGCCAGGTCATCATGTAAGTGCGCAGGAATGTGAAGCATGTTTACAGGAGCTGCTTGAGCAGGAGAAAGCAATTCAGGACAAGAAGGAAAATCCTCTGCCCTCATTTCCCCAAGAGAAACTCCGTGATGAAAATAGGGATCAGCACACATTCTTGGTCTGAAGAGACACCAATAGGTCCAAGTGTTTTCCGTGTTCTCACGTGTTCTGAGTCTCTGGTCAAGCCCAAGGCCACAGGGCCTCCCCCCACCCTGCCCAGGCCGGCGGTGACAGTGCTGCTGGGTCAGCCACGGGGCCTGTGGACCTTGTTCTAGGACCAAAGAGCAACTGTGCTTCCCCCTTGGAGTGACAGATGGGAGCCCCATGTGAACCTTGCAGGACGGCGGCTGCCCTGTTGGGTTTTCCTCCCTCTCCCCCTCATCTCAGCTGCCCCGTGGGATCCAGGCTGGGAGTCCTGAGGCTGGAAAAGGATGGTAAGTAAAAACTGAGGAAACTGGACCAAGTATAGGCACCAGTTATGAAAGGGATGTGTTGATATAGGTTCGTAGTCCTGGCAAACGTGCCGCCTCACATTGGATGGAAATCCTGTGGGAACTGCACCCCGTCGACCCCATTCCTATCTATCTGACACTGTCCTCAAAGTAAGGTTTATTTGTTGTTTTAATTTGGTAGAGGATCTTGGAAGATCCTCTGCACAGAGGCCTGCGGCAGAACTGTCCCAAGTCGGCGTGCAGCCTTGAGCTGGACTTCGGGTCACCTGTGGTCAGGAGCCCGGCTCAGCTTGGCTGCCCTAGGGGCTCTGCATGTGTGTCTCTGAGGCATGTTTTTCTTATTCTTCAAATGGGCGTCATTGTAAACCCCACCTCATGAAGGGATCCTGCAATTCAACATGTAGAGATGACACAGAACTTGGGCTACTTGGGCCATCCTGCACACAGGAGGGACAGGCCTACCCAGTCTCCATTGTCATCAGCTCTGTGTATAAAATAAATCTACATATGTCACCCCGGGGCTGCCTGTGGGGCTCAGGCAGGTGGGCGCCCAGCTCTTGATTTCAGCTCAGGTTGTGACCCAGGTCCTGGGATGGAGTCTCTTTCTCTCTCTCTGCAACCCCCCAATAAGTAAATAAGATATTAATAAAGTTACTCTTAAATTCTATATCCAAACTAGTCATCAAGTTTAATTAAAAATACCGTGGGAGCCCTGGAAGGCTCAGCGGTGGAGTGTCTGCCTTCAGCTCAGGTCGTGATTCCCAGGTCCTAGGATTGAGTCCCACATCAGGCTTCCTGCAGGGAGCCTGCTTCTCCCTCTGCCTGTGTCTCTGCCTCTCTGTGTCTCTCATGAATAAATAAATGTTTTTAAAAAAAATCGTTAACTATGAGAGGCCTCAGATGTCAAGGATGGAAACACATGGCCTTCCCTGGGCCTGCCCAGCACTCCTGGAATGGCCGCAGAGGACGCACAGGGGCAGGCATGCATAGAGGAGGCAGCAGGCAGAGTGGGAGCACCCCGTGAAGACAGGACACAGAGGCCCCACCACAGAAAGGCTGAGTCTGTCCTGTGGAGCCTGTGCAAGGGGGAAGGTGGCCCCACAGCGACAGAGGGTCGTCTGAGGAAGAAAGGAATGCCAGGAAAACAGCACATTCAGTAAGAGACGGGAAGACACACATTCCCCATAGGGTCGGGAGCCGGACCACGTCCTCACCTGGCCTGTGCTGTGGAGCATGTGAGCAGCCTTGAAGGACGCTCGTGTTTCCCAGCAGATGTTTGTGTGGCTGCTGTCAGGGTTGTGTTGCCAGCATGAACCCCGGTACCAGCTGATTGTAATAACAGGGTCCCCTGTGTTATGACTGTTTAAACTCAGGATCTGCTCTGTAGTGGAACATTCACAAACTCAGGTCAGGACCTGACAGCCTGAAGTTTGAATCAGTTTATTGTTGTGTCATGTTGAGTGACTGTCAGGATTTCCTCCTGAATGCCTGTCAGGCTCATTTGAATGTGCGTTCAGCTGGTAGTGGCGCGCAGAGGCCGGTGTGAGTGCGTGCATATTGGGGGCATGAGGCCCTCGGGTAAAGGTGAATTGTGTGTGGCCGTTTGTGTGTGAGATTTGTATTTTTGTCAGATAAACTTAAGACCTTAAAAGGGCAAAGTGAGGAAAAAAATTAAATGAGACCCTGGTAACTATCAAGCCAGTATCGATGTTTTGGGAAATGTTCCTGTGACATTTATGAGATAACGAGAGTTCACACCTTAGTGATGATGAAATCACCTGTGAATATTTAGATTGCTACTTCAGTTATCCACGTGCATGTTCTTTTGCGAGCATGATTGTATATTCACACTTACACAAAGGAAAACTTGTGAAATTACCTCTAAAGATTAGTTTCTAGCATGTTTCCATTTACACGTGTGTATTCAGCTTCTTAATGACCATTTCTGATGATTTTAAAAGAAACTAGTGTGGCTCACCTTTGTGATGACTGCTCGAGGAGGGGCCGCGCGCTCGCAGGGGCTCCATCCACGCCGGCCGGCAAGGGCTCTGGCCTCACACCCCAACCCATTGCTGCGCACGGACCGCCACACGCTCCCCAGGTGGTTTCTCAAATGGGGGAGAACGGAACGGTGTTTGTAGATGGTTCTCCCTATGCATCCCGTAGCCTTCTGCTCCTCCTCCCATTGATGTTTCCCAGATGAGGTGCCTGTGGCCACACCTCATGCTGTCACCTCTCATGCTGGCAACGGCTTGGTTTCCTAAAAGTGCTGCTTGCTGTGGAGAGGGGGCACGAACAGGTTTGAAGGCCTGTGGGACAGACGGGCCCTCCTCACCCTGAGCTGGATGGACAGGGGGTGAGTGATACGGATGACGTGTCCCCAGTGCACTGGGCCCCCGCCCCTGGGAGCTGCTCTCAGAACCGGGTGGGCGGTCGGGGGCGGGATTGTGCAGGGGACACCGTGCATCTGGACTTTCTGGGGGGCCGGTGGGCTGTTGACAGGAGAACAGCACTCTCCACCTCATGGACGGAACGGGTTCTACAACGCCCCTGGGCTGGGCCGTGCACAGCACGCTGTTGTCCAGGCAGAAGCCCTGCAGATGCAAGGTCAGACCCAGGATAAATAAAACTGAAACAGGCAACTGTAAATGTGCAACTGAGGGGTTTTTTGAGAATTTTTTTTTTAGCTTAATACAAGTAAAATGAAATACAAAAAATGTAGCAGAAACTATAGGGAAATAGAAAGAAACATGATTATGGGACCCGGGAATTTAGGCTAGAAGGCTGCCCTGTGGAGGTCTCAAGACTGTCCTGCGACTGACACAGCAGCACAGACAGGGCTCGCACCTCTGCTGGAGGCCTGGGGATGAGGGGGGGCTTAGGGACAGTGAGTCAAAAGGAAGAAAGCGGAGCAGGTGGCATCCTGGGCCCTCAGGAACAGAGGTGCTGAGGCCCCTGTGGCACAGATGCTCCCTGGTCACTGGGTTCAACAGTCATCCCCAGGGTCGCTTCCCAAGAGGAGACGGCGTCACACAGGTGATTGTGGGACAGTTCCCTCCCAACTCCTGTGCTCAGTGTCGGGGGTGGGTGGGGGGAGTGCACCCACCAGACAGAGGGTGCACCTGCGCCTCCGGGACCTCATCATGGCCGCTTGGGTTTGAATTTTGTATCATTTTCACCAAAAGCACCAAATCTGCTTTTGATTTTTTTTTCCCCATTAACAAATGGAAACAGTGTGGGAACTGGCTGCTGCAGACTTGACGTGGACATGCAGCCCTTCCTGACAGCCAGGGACCCTTCACGGGGACTTTCTGTTGGAAAACCCCCATGTCCTCACTTCTGACGGGCTGGGTCCCTGGGATCCCTGGTCCCTGCCAAGAGCCCCAGAGCAAGACAGAGGGTGGGGGGGGGCAGCTCTGGATGGGCTGGGGCCAGACACCACCTGCAGACGCCGGGGGCCGGGAGCAGGTCAGCTGGTGGTGTTACTAACGCATGTTCCCTGTGCCTGGCCAGCAGTTGGCCAGAGCTGCTCAGCATTTCCCAGTTGGTTTCTGGGACGGTTCCTGGGCGTGGGGCTGGGAGCCTGCATCTGAGGGCAGGCAGAGGGCTGGGGCTGCTCCCTGCCTCTCACCCCAGATCCCCATGGGGCACAGATGGCAGGGACGTTTCTAGGAGCACAGCCAGGAAAGCTGGGCAGCATGGACTCCCCTCCTGGCTGTTTTCTTGCATGACAGAGTCTAGTCTGCTGGTCTTCCCACCATGTCTGTAACGGGAACATGTGAGAGGAGGCCTTCTGCCATGGAGCTTGGGGCGCAGGCTCGGCACACCCGCTGTACACTGGGCCTGGGTGCAGGGGCCTGGGCCATTGTCCCAGGCGCTGGTGCTGTGATGGGTCTCCTCCCCAGAACTGCCCCAGTGGCCCTCTGTCCTCTGAGCAAGCCGCCACTGTCTGAGACAACCCCCCACCCCGCCAAGAGGACGGATCCCGTGGCCGGCATGTCACCCAGAGAATGCTCAGCGTCATCCTATGATGGGAACATACGCACTCTCCTGCCTGAGCCTTCTTTCCGGGCAGAGGCACCTGGTGCCGTCAGGAGTGGGAAGACCGTAGGTGAGCTGGTGCCGGGGATCCCCCGAAGGAAGGGGGCCCAGGGATCCCACGCTTGTCAGGGTGTCATGTGTGCATCCCCCTGGCCAGTCCCCCCAAGCTCCTTCCCCAGGAGGGCATGCCGGTGGGCCCATCCGTGGGCACAGTTGCCCTGGCACCCCCTCCCTGCTCCTGGGGAGGCCTCGTTCTGTCTCTCTTCTTCCCTGGGCCCATGGGGCTGTCCTCCCTGACCAGAGCCGGCACAAGTCCCCAGGCCTGCCTGCCTACCCACCACATGGCAGCCCTGGCATATCTTTCTGGGAGTCTGTGCTGGCCGAAGCCCACTGGCTCTGGGTGCCCCCACCTCCTGTCATTCGGGCCTGAACCCCAGGGCCACTTGCTTGGCCCTCACCACAGGGTCCCTGCACCTAGCACGGTGCCAAGCAGGCCCTCAGGGAGAGCGCCCTGAGCTGAGAGGGCATAGCTGCCCCAGCCCCAACACTGGAGGAACTTCCTGTGGAAACAGTCTCGTTCTCATAGGATAACGCACTCGCTTCGCTGGCTTGCTGAGTCCTGACAGATGCCCTTGCAGCCCATACCCCCTTCCCCGGGACCTCTGTTCCCCCTGCAGGCTCGTGTCCATGCTCCTGTGTGGGTGACGCTGCTGGACATCCCTGTGCAGACGGCCCGGGTGGTCTGCACACCTGCGGTGGGGACCGGCCTCGTTTCTGGGTTTGGGCCCTGATGAGTCAACAGTTGCATACAGTTCTCTGGGCACGTCTTGGGTTCTCTCAGGAGAATACTCAGGCTGATCATGTGGTACGTGCTAGGTATCTAACCCTTAAGCCACCAGACCCACGGTTCCCACCAGCAACGGATGATGCTGCGCTGCTAA